TAGAATAAACTGTTCTTTAATTCTTTATATTGTGATAGGGATAAAATTTTAATACAACAGAAGACAGAGACATGCTCATTTCCAACAAATATAGTATCAGCCATCTCAACATTATTAATATTACCTCCAGCATGCTGCCTACAGTTGGGAATTTTGAATCACCCAAGGCTGGTACTGCTCGATTTGAGAACGAAAAATGGAGTGGGGAGGGATTTCACCCACCAAGTAAACCTCCAAGTGAGTAATACAGAGACTGCATTGGAGAAGGGTTTCAAAGCAAATAGACCAAGAGTCCTGAGAAAGGTTTTAACCTTCTACAGGCAGAAAAATTCTAAAAACCTTTATAGTAACATCCAGTCACATATCTGTTCTGCCTTAAATTGAACAGCAAAGAATGAATTTCTTCCCAATCTCTCCTGACAGACATGTCTACAAAAAAGTACTAGCTGGAACTTTTTAGTTAAAGAATGGGCTTTTAAGTAGGTGTATCTCGAGCTTTATTTAAAGTTTTTTCCTATTTTCTTCTCAATTTAGATATTCTGGCAGTGTATCTGCCAGAAATAGGCAAAGGAATTTCATTCTTAGATTAAGAACAATGATCACAGTCTACTTATCTATTTCTTACCATGGGAAAGAATCTGTAATTGGTATTGCCAAGGTTTGAGGGCACCCTGGAGACTTTCTTAAGGGTCTCTTAATAGGCCCTATCTGTTCACTTACTTCCAGTTTGCTTTGCCAAGATGACTCATTACACCTGACTTTGTAGTATCATCCTCAATGAGACCTCATCCATTACATTCATGGTTTGATCTCTTGTGGGACTGAGAATAAGACTCCCAATGAAACCACAGCATTCAGAGAAGAGTTACACAGTAAAAGGGCATATTATTTTGTCAGTAAGTACAGATGGAAAGGACATATGAAGAGATGCTAGCCATAGTACACTGACTTGATCAGGACTGAAATTAAGAAAGATTTTATAAGGCTGGTGAGACCTCCACATAGACTCAATAATTATCCAGTTACATGTATTTTAAAAGGCCATGAACTGCAACCCTAGTGATTTACACAAACCAATTAACATCTACATCTAAAATTATCCAGAAGAAAAATTTAATATATATTAAATATATCCAATTAATTTGTTTGATTTAACATAACAATCTCAAATCACATATGTTCAGTTTTCCGAATCTACAACTGCTACTGAATGAATCTGTATTCATGACTAAAAAAGAAGTATAAAGTTAAGTCTAAGACATCTAGACCAAATATGTTTGTTAGGAATACATCAACACAAAGTAAATGCCTATGTAATGCGACAGAATCATTCTCTGTACTGACTGAAGTAATCTCCCATTCAAGTTGACCTACTTGTGTGTACTTTGCTTCACAGTGACAGTACCCAAAGAGTTTAGGGATGGGGTGGGGGGACACTGCAGCATAAAGGACCCTATGAGATTAATAATTCTTAAAAAATTTCAAGACAATATCTAAAATACAGATAAGTAAATGACACTGTTTAACATAAGTTTAAACACTTACAATTATCAAAATAATGGTAACTGGCAAACAAAACCATAAGAGGCTCTGTCTACTCCTACAGAGAAATTTTCAAACTTCAGTTCATTGTGGCAACTGTGATCAAATACCAAAAAAAGCAGAATTATGATTAAATGATTTTATATCATACCAGTTATCATATTTTGTATTGAAAATAAGTCAGCTAAAATTGGTTTAAATAATGACTTTCATGATATCACAAAGCAGGTAGTCCAGAGGTAGGCTGATAATTCACCAGCATCAACAAGGACCCAGATTCTTTCCATCTTCCTATGCTACCAACATAGGCACATTGCTTATATTTTGAAGATGATTCTTTTTAAGGTTCTAAGATGGCCTTTGTAATTCCAGGAATCATGAAAATGATAGAAGTGACAGCAGTGCTTCCTACTAAGTGTAAATTTTACATGAAAGTGTGACCGCCATCACCACAGACTCGCTCAAAATTCAGCCAAAACTGTATTCTAAACTCATATCCAAATACATAACTGGAAAGGTAATAATTAGAATTGAATTAAAATGTCTAGTTTAGACTATTCAAGATTCACTTCCTCTCAAGATTGAAGGGAACCCTGGCTTCCCCTAAGGCACACATGACCTCCCAATATTTGACAATAAAATTCTACCTAGAAACCAGACTAGTGAGAATAACAGTGATTAGGCAGCCTAAAATGTCTGACAAATACACCCACCTAATAAGAATAGAAATAAAATTTAGTTCACTGTACTATGGTTCAAATAATAAAGCTGACACTAGCAGTTTAAAGGTGGGAAATACCACATATCTAGGACTGGCCATTGCTTTTACAGCAAGGTGCCTTCCTAGAGACCTGGTAGCTGTGAATCTCTCTTTAAATGGCAATAAGTGATTATAATTGAAGCACAAATCATTTCTAAATCCATATCATCTACATGATCCCATAATAGATATTTCTTATTTTATTGAAAAAAGCAAAGGTTCCCTTTACTGGAAATTTGAGTTCCAATGAGTTTCCAGTAAGTTTCACATTCCAGATGTGCATTTGTAATAAGTTTATATTGTTGGATGAGGCTCAATTTATCTAATAAGCTATTAAAGTGCTCAATTGTTTATACAAATTAGGAATCATGACTGTAGTAAAAAAGTGATGTGCTATTAATGTACCTACTGAATATATTCAGGAAATACACTTTAACTTTCATTTCACTCTAAATTGTTCATTTATTACATGACCACCTCTCACATAGGAAAAATAGCTAAAATACTTGTTAAATGTGTGTTCTTTTCTAAAATGTGTATTGAATTCTAGGCCAGTGAGGGGCGGAGGCCAGCACTGCGGCAGCCATGGACCACTTCCTGCGGACCAGCAGCATCCTGGAAATCAATGAAACCCTGATAATCCACCAGTGCGGGGTGCTCATCTACAACTGCAAGAAGATAAAATTTGATGCTGGCACCCTCCTCCTTAGTACACACCGATTGATTTGAAGAGTCAGAAAAATCATTCCAAAATTATGGTGCATCTGCACCCGGCTCCTCCTAACAAAGAGCCTGGCCCATTCCAGAGCAGTAAGAACTTTATATCAAACTCTCCTTCAAAGAACATGGCCAGATTGAGTTTTACACCCATTTGTCAGAGGAAATGACACAGAGAAGATGGGAGACTATGACAGTCTCCCAGTCATTACAGAGGACCTCACCCAGGAAAAGTGAAGGTTGTTGGAATTGTAAGTGTTGAAAGGAAACTGGAAAAAAAAAGAAAAGAAACTGACAAAGATATTCCTGAGGACTTTGAAGACCTCAGCAAGTTAATGATCAAGTCTTTTCTTTTGACAGGCTAAAGAAATGGTGGAATTATCAAAATAAATTGCTAAAAAACAGCCGGGCATGGTGGCACACACGTGCAATCCCAGCACTCAGGAGGCTGAGGCAGGAGGATTGCTGTGAGTTCGAGACCAGCCTGGGCTACATAGTGAGCTCCAGGTCAATCTCAACTACATAGTGAGACCCTGTCTCAAAAAAATTAAATTAAATTAAATAAATAAATTGCTTTAAAAATTAAAGAAAAGCAAGGTGACATTACAGAAGAAAGAGATCATCAGATTTAAGTCCTACTTGCTGAGCATGAAAATAGCTAACCCAGTTAGCAGGAAAACCTATGGCACCACATCCAGCTGGCCAAACAGCTGGCTAGAATATTACAGAATATTAGAGGAGTGAGGGGGAATAATGTCACTCACATAGGTATACTGTTTAGTAAACCGAGCTTGAAGAATGGAATTGCTCTCACCAGAAGATTTAGTAAACACATGCAAGATGCTGGAAGTACTGAATTAAATCTAATTACTCTAAGGCTCTGGGTGTTTGAAAGTGGAGCCATGGTAATTGAGCTTCAGTCCCACACGGAAGAGGAAATGGTGGTCTCCGCTCTGGAGACAGCTCAGATCCTAACACCAGAAGAGTTTTCTAAGCTTGTGGGAATGTCTGTTCTCCTGGCCAAAAAAAAAGGCTGTGGCTTTCAGAAAAGATGGGCCATCTTTGCTAAGATGACTCAGTGGAAGGCTTATGGTTTTACCCAAGTTTATTTATGACACAGAGCCAAAGGGGTTTGCATTTGAAATACTTTGTGTCCATACACTTGCACCATGTAGCAACTGTATGACATTGAGCTAATAGGTAAAACCTGAAAAACAGGAAATTCAATAAAACTTAACAGTTTAATATAAAACTTTTAAAGTCACTCTCTACATATTATGGCCCTGGAAGCTTATTTAGAATATGTAAAGTAAATATAGAAAAATGAATGCCAGTATGAATTTAAAGTCATGCTATATCTGTGCAGATCCTTCAGAGTTTAACTTGAAACATGGTGGGTTTTTAACTTGATCCCCATATCTAACCACTTCGCAGAGAATTTAAATTCTGGGGAGTAGAAGAAGAGAAGCAGCTGCATGTATGAACAGGTTAGATTATTATTTTGGTGATCAATGAATTAAAAATGTTTTTCTCTGTGTCTGATATGCCCATTTGTGTCAGAAGGTGCATGAAGGAGGTACTACAGGGTAGTTTAAGAATCCAACAACACTGGAACAAAATATGAAACTACAGAATTCTGTACAAGGCTCAACTAAGGGCTTTTCAAGGCAGTCCTAAGCATATCTTCAACAAAGTAAATAGCACACCTTTAGAAAAGGATTGGTATGGCCCAATGGAAGTGCGCAGGCACATGGCCCTGGACTTCATCCTCAGCATAGGGGGAAAAAAAGAGAAATATAAACTCCAACTAGTTTCTTTTTATTTATATTTTTTAGTGATGATTTTCATGGCTGGCATTTCAAGAATATAGGTGTACAATTTTGTTTTTTTAAATGCTGTGGATTTTGAAGGTGAATTAAAGAACTGTATAGTCATGTCCAGAGTTATAATGACAGATTTAGGGAGGAGACAGCTAGGAATTCCCCAGGTTTGTTGTGCAAATTGAAGAACAGAAGAAACCAACTTCTCAGGAAACTTAATGCTCTTTTACCTGGAAGCAAAGGATGAGAAATAGAAAAGTAATATAGCTCCTCTGCTCTCTCTTAGAAGAGTCTTAACACTGAACTTTAAAAATCTTCTTTGCCCTACACATGATAGTAGAGAAACTATCTTGGTAAAACGTGTTACTGAGAAAATATAAACTGAAAAAATAAATTCTAATGAGAAATAATATTAAAGTATCTTACAATGTTAAGGGATATCAGGAGAGACAATGTGGTACAACTATAAAGCAAACAGCTAAGAAGATATATGAATTCTAATTCCAATCGTTTATTAAGTATTCATTGGGTACCAGTCACTATGCTGTTTCACTTATACTTATTTTCTTAATCCTCACCATAACCTTGTAATTTATGTACTATGATTACCTCATTTTCAGGTACGAAAACTAAAGTGCAGAAGGGTTGGTTATGGAACTTGCAGAAGGTCACTCAGTTGTTAAGTGGCAAGGGCAAGATTCCAGTCCTGTCACTTGAAAGCCAAAGCCCTCAGTCAGGATGCATACTGACTCTAGTCTTAGAAAATAGAACTTACTGCTTAAATTTCTTGATGGCTCAGTTTCCTGATGAGTTAAAGAATCTAACTAGATGTATTTCAGAGCATTTCCACGTTAACACTTAGCATCATGCTATAGAAGCTATGGCCTTCAGACACACCTTCCTCTGTGAAATGGTTTATATTAAGATTACATTTGTCACACAACGTAAACCCATATCTGGATTTTGTAGTAACAACTGCAAAGTGATTCAGAAGACAAAAGAACTACAAAGTCAACCATGGCACATAAGTCACAGGAAAAATACTTCTCCTTAGAGGAATAAGGTTACAGTTTATCAGCATTAAATTCACAAAGTGCCCCAGACACTGGAGTAAAGCCCACTGGAAGGAAGACTATAGACTGAATTTCCTATAACTTTCACCAGAATTAAGTAAAGATCTTTCAAAGCATGCCACAATGTTTCATGATATTAGACAAAAGAAAATTCCCTCTTCTGAGTAGTCTCTCCTCTATCTGGACTTCCTAAAAGAGTTAGAAATTGGTTTTTAAGCTACCTCACTGAATACAATTATAAGTACAAGATTTCTCAATATCCTCTTTGTGGTATTCAAACACAGAGGCACAAGGGTAGATACATGTAACTGTAAAATAATTAATAAATGTATTTCTCTGAGCACTATGAATTAACTGTACACAACAGCAGCCTACCATTCAGTTTATCTGAAGGCTAAAATACTCTCTCTAAAGAAATAAAGTCTCTAATCTTATTTGAAGAACATAAGCAGGATTGGGCAGTACAGAGATATAAAGCATCTCACACTTGCTATACTTTTTCACTGTGTGTAAAGAGGGACATCAAGTGGTCTAAATTCTGGAAACTCTGTCTTACCAGGGGCTTTTTCTCTAGTCAGATCTGACAACATATGATGAAATAGTTACAGCAGAGGTGTGCAAAAGATATAACAGTCTTAAGTAATCATTAAAATACTTTCAGCAAATTTCTGGTAAGGATCAATTTTATTTGGAGTATAAACAGTTTTCTTTGTGGTATACAGCAGCATCTCAATTATCTCCAATAAATAAGGAAAATTACAACATCATGAATACAAAAATAATTCATATATTACATGTATATGGGTATGTTGCTTTATAAATTAATCTACTTTTCTAACCACACTTTTCATACTAGACACCCAAGTTAATTTTTGCTGAACAAAAAAATGACCAAAAATGCTTAAAGCATTATGGGTGGCAAGGTCAAGATGTTAAAAAGAAATCTACTACAGTTTGCAAGAGTTAATCCCTAACAGGTTTTTAAAAAAGATACAACAGCTTGTTTACCTCTACAATTTGGAACGCATACGAAATAAATACAAGTGCTGGGTACTTCTGTTCCCATATACTTGCACTTTTTGTCATGTGTTTATGGATAAATTGAGATGAGTTTTATCACATTTTCCACCAAGAAAAAAAGGTTAGGCTGCTGGAAAACAATACAGAAAGCCACTGATGACAAACACCATCTGCCTGTCATTTACATGTTTCTTAAATCAAAAACGCATTAAGTCTTTTTAGATTGTTTCTCCCTTTATTCCTCCAGGCCAGTCAGATTCTATGGGCAAGAAACGGAATGGAAGGAATTACTACTCTATCTTGCTGAGCCACTGAGTTTATAGTGAAACTAAAGCTAATACAGAAATCCAACAAGAGTCATACATTATGAACTACAGAAATTCACTCTGTCCTAGTGAGACCTTCAGAACCTAGGAAAGAGAATTATCGGTGAGGTGATGAGAGCATGGGGGAGGGGCTCCCCTCCAGCTCAGGACTGCGCTAGGGCTAATTTCTTGCAATCCTCTGGAAAACTATTCAACTGCTCTAGATTATGTTTGCTAATCTGTAAAGTGGAAATATCAATACCCACATCAAAGGGTTGCAGTGAGAAATAAATCATCAGATTGAAAGCACTGACCAAAGCACCTGCACACAGCAGCACTCTATGCACAGTAGCTGCTATTCTTTTCAACCCAGAAGGGAGATCATCCAACTGAGGGGTAGCCTTTGGAGAGCACAGCCTGGCCTGAGAATGTCTTTCATTTTACACATTAACATCATTTATTTAAATTCTTCTATTCATGAATTCTCTTTTAAAAATGTAGTTCCCGGGCCGGAGATTTAGCTCAGTGGTACTGCACCTGCCTCACAAGTGCATGGTCCTGAGTTTGATGCCCAGTACCAAGAAAAAAAATTCGTTTAGTTCTAAAAGTATTGTCTATACATTTTTAAATTAAAAATGAGTCAGTTAAGTGTCCTTCCCAACTCCAAGATTAACTGCAAACATTCTTATTTTAAGAATAACCACTGCTCCCAGTTCAAGTTATATACTTTTCTTTTATATGTTTAAACAAACATAATTGTAGGTTTCATTTTTAAAATGGATATTGAGCAATGTTACAAAATTACTCTATTAATTGCTTTTCCACTTACAACATAACCAAGATATCTTTCAGAATATGTTAGTATGCTTAGATTTATGCTGTTACTATTAAATTTTAAATAAGTAGATAATGAGATGAAAATAAATTAAGTATCTTTTATTATTTAACTTATTATCATGATGATATCATTGTGATTATGTTTTAAGTTCTAACTTTATAGATCTACTTAAATAATTATAGATAAATTATATGGTGTCTAGGACTATCTTCAAATTGGAAGAGAGAGAGAGAGAGAAGGAAGCTAAGGAGACATAAAAAACAAGACTGACCATGAATTATAATTAAGCTGGCTAAATAGTATGTGGAGATTATATTATTCTCTTCTCTATATTTCTGAATATTTTTAAACTTTCTGTAATAAAAATTTTTTAATATTTTCTCATTACCATTTACTAATAAATGCTGAACAGCCGTACCTTTAAATCACAGCTATTAATTCCTAACTAATTAATGGTAATTTATTCAAGACAAATCATTCCTAACATCCATCCCTTAAGCAACACAAAGAGAAACTTAGTCTCTTTATAGTTTGGATGATGCTATAAAAATCCAATACAATAACCATCCCAGAAAAGCAATGTTCACTAATGTTATGGGAGATGTTTATTGAAAACTGTAAACTATACACTATTACAATTTTTATAGTAACTGAAGAAGTATTTTCCTTTTTCTCCTATATGGAAATTATAATAGTTAGATTCAAAGGAAAATAGACCCCTAATCTATGTACAGTCAAGAAATCATACACATATAACCTGGAGTGTGCTCACCAAAACTTAGTCATGCTGAAGCAAAAAGTCTCTGTTACAACACTCCAAAAGAATAATTTTTTGGAGAATTTAAGCTGTTTTGCTCTATGCATACCTCACAAGTTCCAAGAAGATGGCTGGGCCCTTAATATCTCTTTGCTTCTGGAACAAGGAAGGAAGTCTGCAGGAAATCAATGGGAAATTGCCTGAATTATACAGTTCTCCCTGACTTTTATAAATGCTTATATTCATGTATAGCTGGAGGCAGATGAAAAATACTAATAGTTTCTAGGGTAGCAAAAGTGATCAGGAAGTTTTTCAGTATTGGAAAAAGGTCACAGTTCAGAAGGTCCAATGAGATACAGAATCTGTTAAGGGAGCAACAAGGTGGTGTACCCAGAGATATTGGATGCTAGTTCCCTCGAGTCAAAATTTCAGAGTACCAAATATGGACTGAAAGCAGAGGAGGAAAAGAATCTAAAAGTATCAAGATGGATGGACAATGGGCATCCTCACATTATCCAGGCTGAGCCAATGATCAATGACCAAATGGATCTTCTTCACCTATGCTTTGGTATCACTTAAGATCCGAAACCTTAGCACAATATTTGGGATAGGAAAGCACTAATAAATGTTTAGTTTTAATTTCTACCAGCCCAACATTATGATGAGATCTAACATTTGGATCTGAGCGGGTTTGAGGAAAATAAATACGTGCAATAGCTTTTTACAGATCTGGGTCTAGGGTAGTTAACTCATATAGACTACTCCATTAAAAATCAATCATGCCAATAATAGGGGCTATAAAAGCAACCTGCCTCCATACTGTAATAATCCTTCACAGCTGCACAGCTCTGTACATTTGGTAAGGTGTTTCCACATATGTTATTTCATTTGATCCTCACAGAAGCAAGAGTTCGGTGGCGCTGGAGCTATTTGAGAGTAGACAGGCAGGCGTGAAATGGCTTAATGAAAGAAAGGATTTTCTCACAGATGTCTGGTCACTAAGAATTTTGTTTGCATTCTCTCTCTCACTCTGTCTCTCTGTCTCTGTCTGTCTGTCTCTCTCTCTCTCTCTCTCTCTCTGTTCCTCCCTCCTTCCTTACCTCCATCCCTTTCTTTTTCCCTCCCTCCATCCCTCTCTCTTGCTGAGGAGAAGAGGAAAATTTTACTCAACAGTTCATTCAAAAACATCTGTGCAAAATTGTTATTTGTAAGCTGGATTTCACAGAAACCACAGCTAAAGATGAATTCACTTAAGAGATTTGTCACTCAAATCTGGATGGTAGTAAGTTACTGTTAAACTTCACTAAACACACACACAAAAAAAAAATGCCAAAAAGATCAAACACTTATATGTGAGAAGGAAAACAGATCAAAATTTGTTGTCCTAACACTTATAATGCCTTCTTCTTGTTTTTGTTTTTGTTTTGTTTTGTTTTCCTGGCACTAGGGATAGAACTTAGGACCTTGCGTTTGTGAAGCAGGCAGGGCACCACTGTGCTAAATCCCTGGCCCCTTATAAGAAGCAAGGATTGCTGGGCTAGGGATAGAGCTCAGTGGTAGAACATTTAGGTATCATGCCTGAGTCCCTGGGTTTGATCTCCAGCGGATTTAACAGATATTGCCTCTGAGGAATAGGAGTTGGGGAAATGAAGTAGGCATGACTTTCATTTCTACTTTGTATATTTCTATTTGTTTTGATATTACTGCAATGAAATATTTGTAACATATTATAATTTGAAAACTAATCTTCTTTTAATCAAAGGAATCTAATTGAGTCTTTTCTTCTTTTAACACAAAACATCATTACCAACTAACAAAATAGCTAAAAACATATAACTGTTCTTTAATATTTTATAGGGCTCATCAAAGACAAAACTTTCTTTTAATTATTCAGTTTTGCCTTGAAACCCTTAGTCTGTCCACGTCCTCTGGGCCAAGAATTTCCAATTGCAGTAAGAACAACAGAGACATAACAATAGTTACAGAGCGACTCAGAACAAGCATTGGAATTAAGAATTCACTTTCCGTCAACCTACAACATCTTGTGAGTATGATGGCCTGACTACATCTGCCAAAGATTTTCACACATACTCATCATACATTTGGCACCACTTGAGACAATGTTTGGGACGTGAAAGCACCATACATACGAACACAACAAGGAAGTGGTTTTATTTCTATTTTAAAGTTGTAAAGGAAAAACAAAGTTTACAAAAGACAAAGTACATTTTTATGTCTGCAAAGGTTACTAGAAATAATAAATTACAACATGGCTGGGTGTGTTGGAGCACACCTATAATTCCAGCACTTGGTAGCCTGAGAGGCAGGAGAACTGCTGCTAGTTGAAGGCTAGCCTGAACCACATAGTGAGACCCTGCTTCAAAAAAACAACAACAACAAAGCTAAGTAAATAAATAACATCATTGTGGACATTTCGTTTCTCTAGTGGTGTGATTTCATATTCTTAAGAGTGATTTCAAGAGTGGAGTTGGACTGTCACCTTGTATGGCTTGAGTTTCCCAGGTTAGTAAAGCACACATCTGGGTATGTTGGGTAGAGGTGTGACCATGGATACAATATCCAGTTGCTGGCCTTTCCTCTGGCACTGATCCCCAGCTCTGCTTCTCAAATGAGCAGCTTTGCTCCAGCACATACTTCCACCATGATGTTTCTGCATTAGATTCAGCCAACCATGGACTCAATCCTCTGAAATGAGTAAAATAAACCTTTACCTCTTTAAATTGTGGGTATCACGAATTGTGTCCCAGCAATGTGAAAGCTGACCAATACAGTGGTAGAGGGATACAAAAAGGTGAGAACCACTCTCCTTGACTTGGGTCAAAAATCTCAGAAATCTTTTCAACCACTGGCTTTGACTTCTATAATCTGATCTCTCCTTTTCTAGGAGTAAGAACTTGTAGGCCAAAAAAAAAAAAAAAAAGGTTGTTTGATCTCTCCAGTCTTGACTTAAGACCTTTTTCTTTCTTATTAGTAAATATACAATTTAACCCTCCTCTTGAGGAAGATAAACATCCATCAAACATCCATTCCTGTTGTGGCTTGATTTCCACAGCCATAACATGGTCCCCTAATTTTCATGTCCACTTTCCTTTGCCATCAGAGAACCTCCTCAATCACTCCCAAATGTTGTACAGGGTTAGACCTGATGGTTTTGTTTGCATGAACTGGTGATTTTCTTTTTCAAATTTTTTCTTCATGATCTCCATAGCAACTGGCTTCTTTAAAAACTTTCTCATGAAGTCCAAAGATACCATATCTCTTTTAACTGAATAGAACATTATGAATAGAATTAGTACAGGAAAATAAGCTCATTTCATTATCATGTTCTTGACTCTTTTGGTAAAATGAAACTTTAAAAAAGAAAAAGCTGTCAACTCAGCTAGATAGAATTTGCTGCTTATTCTGAGACTTGAAAGTTATTGAAGGATTACATAATTCTAAAAGATGCTGTCACACCCATTCTATTTTATATTTACTTTTGTTTTGCTTTTTTAGACAGGGTCTTCCTATGTCATTTGTGTTAGCCTTGAGCTCACTCTGTAGCTCTGGCTGGCTTCAAACTCACAGCCATTCTCCTGCCTCAGCCTTACAATGCTGGAATTATAGTCGTGGACAGCAATGGTCAGCAAGTCGCACGCATTTTAAAGAGCAGTTTTTCATGTATTCATTCATTCAGTATTTACAAGTATGTTAAGCACTATGCATGAATCTGTGAAAAAAATTCAAATAAATATAAAACTAGAACTGCCCTCCTGTACTTGCTATCATGTTAGTTAACAATCAAAGGCAGTGTGTGATTTAAAATGCTATAACTATAAAATAACCCTATCATCATTTTCAGATGATGGAAAAGGAAGATGAAATTTGAATTGGGCCCTCAAAGATAGAATTTGAAAGAATTAAAAATATTACTCCAGCACTGTTCCTGACATAGTATGAATGAGTACGTAAAGTATAAATCCTGAATGACTGGAGGGAAAGTGAGTAGATCGGTTTGGCCAGAGGAAAGTAAATTGAGACATACGACACAGGACTAAAAAGGAGGGAGATAAGGGTAGAAATCAGGTACAGAAAGATGTGACCAACACGACTTGACCTTTGTTTGGATTTTACCTCATGAGTGATATTAACTAATTAAATTGTCAAAAGTCTAAAAGAAAATAGGAATAATCTAAAAGAATCTTTAAGATGACTTCAGAGTCAGAATACATAACTACCTTCAGTCTTTTTCCTTTACATTTCTCTACTGTACTTTCTCCGAGAGTGATCTTTACAATGACAACTCTGGGCAATTTTAAAATGGTATCACTCTTCTGCACACAACAGTTCAATACCTTCACTGTAACTCTCAGATAAAATCCTGCCAAACACATGGCCTTAACCCCTGGCCCTAGCTTGCCTCTCCAGTCTTGTCACTTATACAGTAGGCATCACTCAAACCCTCTTCCACTGGATTGAAATGTCCTTCACTCCTCTCTTCCCTTTTCATCAGGAAAACTCGTAACTCATATTGAAGTCTTTGCTTAGATGTCACTTCCCCAAGCCAGGCTCTCAAAGCTCCCCAAATCCAGATTAGGTTCTCTGCTACAACTCTTCATCTCTGTTGACAGTTCTTAGGACCTGCAGCCTTGTTTCTGGCTTATCCTGAGAAAAGAGGTGGTTTCTCCAGCACCTACCACAGGTCCAAGAACATAAGAGATACTGAAAACTATTTGTTAAAGAAAAAAGGCAGAAAGCAGAAAAACAGGAGTATAAATCAGTCATAAAATAGTAAGATTTAAGCATAAATCCAGTGATAGAAAAAGGGATGATTTGGAGTGGGGCACAGGAAAAACCAAGCTAAATGGAAAGCTAACAAAACTGAATTCTGAATGAGTTTACACAGTTTGGTATATATAATTAGGTCCATCCAGCTTAATAGTCTCCAAAGCCTGGGTGATCATTAGAAATTTGTTATTGTTTTTCAGGTGTTTTCATTTCCTCTGCTCATCCTGTCATAACAACTTACTGATGTTTAAGACTTACTTACCCAGATATCTTTAAGGCCATTTCCAGCACTAATGTTCTGATTTAACCAAGATACCTGCAAAAATGTAATTGAAAGAACTTGATCAGTAACTCAATGTAAGAGCAGAAGGCATGTATTACACTACTTACATTTTTAGTTGATGGCCTGAAGTTACAATTTGCATACAATAGACAGGCATGAAATACATGTTTAATGAATGAAACAAGGAAGCAGAAAGAACATTTTGTGATTTTAAAAAGTAGATTTGATGTTGAACTTTAACTTTCCCACCTATCACTCAAAACAATTCTTTGCCTCTAGAGCTGTCTAAGCAGAATTCTCTTACCCTAAGTGTATATCTGCCCTTGACATTGCTCTGTCTACTATAGTGCCTCTCTTTGAGGAACAGCATCCAGTTTATCTTTAAAGAACTGGAAAAACTGGATTTCAACTCGCCAAAGATTAAAACTAGACCCTTATCTTTCACCATGCACTAAACTAAAATCAAAGTGGATTAAAGATCTAAATATTAAAAAAGAAACACTAAACTTGCTGGAAGATAAGTTAGGCAGAACTCTGGAAGACACTGGCATAGGAAAGACTTTATGAACAAATCTTCGGTAGCATGGGAACTAGCAGAAAGAATCAACAACTGGGATCTCATCTTATTAAAAAGCTTCTGCACTGCAAAAGAAACCATCAACAGAACTAAGAGACAACCTACAATGTGGGAAAAAATTTTACCAGCTGCTCCTCAGACAAAGGGCTCTTATCTAGAATATATAAAGAACTCAAAACAATCAGACCCCCAAATATAAAGACCCAATTCAAAAACGGGCACCTGAAATGAACAGATATTTCTCAAACAAGTAAAAGTAGCAAGTATATATATGAAAAAATGTTCCACATCACTGGTCATTCAAGAGATGCAGATGAAAACAACACTGAGATTCCACCTCACCCCACAAAGAATGGCTGCTATCAAGAAATCAATCAATAACAAATGTTGGCGGGGTTGTGGGGAGAAAGGAACCCTTCTCCATTGTTGGTGGGAGTGCAGACTGGTGCAACCACTATGGAAATCAATATGGAGATACCTCAAAGAGCTGGGACTAGAGGTTCCATTTGACCCAGCCATCCCTCTGCTGGGTATCTTTCCAAAAGAATTAAAAGAATCATACCACAGAGATATATGCGCACCTATGTTTATAGTGGCACAGTTTGTAATAGCTAAAACTTGGAAACAGCCCATTTGCCCATCAGTTGGAGACTGGATAAAGAAGATGTGTTTTTTCTATAAAGTGGAATACTACTAAGCCATAAAGAATGAGAAATTAGAGTCATTCGTAGGAAAATGGATCCATATTGAGGATATACTCCTAAGTGAAATAAATAAGTCACACATGTGTAAATACCAAATAGTTTCTCTGGTGTGAAAAACTATAATAGTACATAAGATTCTAATAACTGACAATGTGAAATAGGAAGAAAAGGGTTAAAGGTGTAGGGAAAGTGGGAAGAGTAGGGGGAAGGTAACAAGGGAAAAGAAAAAAATATGAGAAAATGAAAAAATGGAAATAAAATGTTTGTAAATGGGGAGGGGAGGAGGGGGCAGGGACAAGGGGAAAAAATGAGAACCAAGACCTGTCATGTAAAGGTTCAAGATCGCAATAATGAATGTAACTGTACTGTATACCTAAAATGTATCAATAAACTCTTTTAAAAAAAAAGCAAGCCTTATCCCTGAATTGCAAAAATAAATAAATAACTCCCTGCTCGACTGTGCACAGTCTTTCTTGGGTTGCAAAATAGATCCTATCCTAAACTAAGACAAAGGAGACTTTTTCTCTGACTTTGAAAGCTTGAACAAATCCTAAGCAGAGAAAGCAGTTGGTGTGTCATTTATTCTTGCAGTGGCACTTTTATTTCTGCTTTCTAAAACTATGGGCTGTCCTAGCTTATCTTTTGAACCCAGCCTTGTTCTCAAGACCTCTCCCAATTCTACTAACTACCCAGTATCTTTTTCCAATAAAACTTAATTTTTAAAATAAGTAATTTCAATATCTGGTACGTGCAAACAAATGAACAAAAACTAATATTTAATTCTGTGCTGTGAAGAGAGAGGTGGGGGAAAGAAAGGACAGAAGAAATATAAGCCACACTTCTAACCGCATTTAAAAAGTAAACAGAAAATATGAGAAAATGAAAAATGGAAATAAAGTTTTTGTAAATAGGGAAGGGAGGAAGGGGTGAAGGGAGGGCAGGGGTATGGGGAAAAAATGAGAACCAAGACCTGTCATGTAAAGGTGCAAGAGCCCAATGATGAATGTAATTGTACTGTATGCCTAAAATGTACCAATAAAAAATACTCTTCTGGGGAAAAAAAGTAAACAGAACACAGGAATTCATTTTAATACTGTTTTATTTCAAAGAAAACATCCACACTAATCAACAAATAATCAGTATGAAAAATAATGAGATATTTTACTTTTTTCATCCTCTAAGTCTTTGAAATGTGGTATATATTTTATACTTAAAGTACATCTCAACTCAGATACTAAATTTTCAAAGGTTAAAGTGAAATGTGGTCCTTCCAAAACAACAAAGCTTTGAATACAGACTATATTTTAGTTACTTTAAAATTTATATTAGCTAAAACTAAATATTGCTTGCTGAGTTGTACCAGTCACATTTCAAGTTCTCGGGCAGCTACATCTGACTAGCGCCTACTGTACTTTGCAGCTGTAGGAGAGAAACAAGTCAGAAATTGTTTTGTTCATGGATCCAGGAGTTGATAGGAATGGAAGGCTTTCACACTTTCAACAAATTCTATTATGAAATGACTCAGAACCTTGAAGACCTTTTCAAATATTTCTTCCTCCAATGTTTCCTTGGCTGGAGAACTACAGCAGGTTAAACATTATTGAATATGTCACCTATCCTGTGTTCTGTAAATCAGTAGCACAGAAAGATCAAGGAGTTATCTTCCCTGTCAGGGAGTTTTAATTCAAAGTTAAAATTACACTATTATTCTTAAATCACTTCTCATTTATTACATTTTGAGAGGTAAAAAAGACCTTGGAGATTCATTTTAAGTATTTCCATTGTCAAATAAAAATAGAATCTTAAATAGCAAGTTGAAGAATTTGCCCCTTACCCCTCAAACAGTAACAGCTATTGTAAATTTTGGATTAAGGGAATAACATGATAACATCAATGTTTCAGGAAAACAAATCAAAATCCTTTGTGCAAGCAGACTTGTAAAAATGAGGATCTACACAGGAAAGATATAGAACTTACAGCATGTTAGCTGGTTCTACATATGCTCCTATGTCTGCCAGAACGCTGTTTTCTTTTTCTTGTGCTAACAATATGTATGTTCATCCTTCAAGAGTCACCTCCTACTTTCCTGGATGCAGGTGTTAGACTGAGTCACTTCTTCACCTCTGCTTCCACACACTTCTTACAAAACACTGAATAGGAGTCAACTTCATAGACCCAGAAAGTAGAATGGTAGTTGTAAGGGACTGAAAAGTTATTGTTTAATGGACAGAGTCTCAGTTTTCAAAATATATGGATGGTAGTGATGGTAGCACAACAAAGGGAATGACTAGAAGGTCTTTGCCCAACCTAACTCCTCTCCTTTCAGATCTCCCATTAAATGTCACATCACTCAGGAGACTCATCTTTTCCAGGCCAGATGGCTTAGGTACCTTTGTTGTACCATTTCATGAACCTTTTCTTACAGGACTCTCACGACAACGGTAATCTAAATCTAATTATGTAGTATGTTAGTCTACTAGCACCACCAAAAAAAAAAAAAAAATACAGACTGCGTGGCTTGTATTTATCTTCTCACAATTAAAAGGAAGGTGTTGATAGGTGACTTCTCT